AAGATGTAACTAACGTAATGAAAATGCCAGAAGGAGAAGGAACAGAGAAAGAAACAGAAGAAATATTTCAAACAATAATGACTGAGAATTTCCCCAAATTTAGTAGTCCTCCCTTATCCGAGGCTTCACTTCTGGCACTTTCTGTTACCTGTGGTCAACCTCGGTCTCAAAATATTAAATGGAAACTTCCAGAAATAAATAATTTTTAAGTTCAACTGAGCACCGTTCTGAGTAGTGTGATGAAATCTCTCCCAGTCCCGCTCTGTCTTGCTTGGGATGTGAATCGCCCGTTTTTCCAGCACATCCCCATGGTGTACATGACCCACCTGTGAGTTCCTTAGTAGCTGTCTCAGTCTCTCGATCATCAGATCGACTGTCATGATGTTTGTGTTCAAGTGACCCTATTTTACTTAATAATGGCCCCAAAGCACAATAGTGATGCTGGGGATTCAGATATGCCAAAGAGAAGTCACAAATGCTTTCTTTAAGTGAAAAGGTGAACGCTAATAAGGAAGGAAAAAAATATCTCATACTGAGGTTTCTAAGACCTATGGTAAGAACAAATCTATCTGTGAAATTGTAAAGAAGAAAAAAGAAATCCATGTTAGTTTTACTGTTGTACCTTGAACTGCAAAAGTTATGCCCATTGTGTGTAGTAAGTTAAGAAAATAGTAACAAATGTGGTCGATATGAATCCAACGTAAAGCTTAAAAGTAAATGGGTAGAGAAAAATATACCCATCTAACATTATTCAGAAGAAAGTAGGAGTAACTAGATTAATTTCAGACAGAGTACACTTCAAAGCAAGGGACATTATCGGGGGTAATAAAGGACCCTCACCTTGCTCCCAGCTCCTGGCAACCACTCATTATAGCTTGTTTGTTTTTATTATTGTTGTTGTTGTTGTTTTGAGAATTTTCGAGGGCGCCAGATAAATGAACTATACAGTACGTAACCTTTTGAAACTGTTTTCTCTCACTTAACATAATGTCTTTAAGATTCATCCAAGTTGTTTGTATCAGCAGTCTGTTCTTTGTTGTTGTTGTTGCTTGGTGTTCCATGATATGGACGTATGGACGTATGGACATATCACAGTTTGTTTATCCATCCACCTGCTGCACAGCGTTGGGATGGTGTCCAGCTTTTAACTATCACAAACAAAACTGCTGTGAACAGTTGCAGCTAGAATTTTGTGTAAACCAAGTTTTCTTTTCTCTAGACTATATGCCTAGGAGTAGGATTGCTGGGGTTAAATATATATTTTATAAGAAATTAACAAACTATTTTCTGTTGTGGCTGTACCATTATACATTCCCATGAGAGTTCTAGTTGCTCCAAGTACTTGTCAGCACTTGGTATTGTTAGTAGTTTTTATATGATGTCGTATCATGTTTTTAATTTGCGTTTCCCTAATGGCTAATGATATTGACTATCTATCTTTTCCTCGCTTATTGGTCATTCTCATATCCTCTTCGGTGACGTATCTGTTCATGTCCTTTACTCATTTTTTAATTGTTTTTTGTTTTCATATCATTGAGTTTGAGAGTCCTTTGTATATTCTAGATACAAGTCCTTTGTCGGATATGCAGTTTTCAAATATATTCTAGCCCATATCTTGTCTTTTCATTCTCATGACGGTATCTCTGGAAGAACAAAAGTTTTAAATTTGATGATGTCTCATTTATCAATTTTCTTCTTTTATGCATCTTTCATTTGGTGTCAGTCTAAGAATTCTTTGTCTTACCTGAGGTCAGAAGGATTTATCTTTTTTCCCTAAAAAGTTTATAGTTTTATGTTTTTCATTTAGATCATGATGTATTTTGAGTTAATCTTTATATAAGGTATGAGATTTGTATCAAGATCTATCTCTTTTCTTATGCATGACCAATTTTTCCAATACTCATTAGTTGAAAAGAATATCTTTCCGCCACTGAATTGTGTTTATACTTTGTCAAAAGATCAAATAACTATTTGTGAGTCTGTTTCTGGACTTTGCTGCATTGATCTCTGTGTCTGTCTTCTCCCTGGGCTTTTGTTTTGTTTGTTGTTTTGTTTGTTTGTTTGTTTTTTAACTAAAGAAAGACAAATTTGTCATTTGTCGTGAGCTTTGGGGTGGAGTGGGTGGCAGGGAGCAGTCCCCTGTGAACTCTAGGACTAGAAAACATTAATTCCTTCCATCACCCATTCCCTGACACCTCCTAACTCAGGTATCACAGAAACTGAGGTGAACAGCTCAGTAAAATTACCTGTTAGCTTCATGATATAACAAATTAATAAAGCCAAATGTCGTCTTTCTTAAATGCTTTCCTCACTCTCAGTGGTTTTTTTTGGCGGTATCAACCGAAAAATAAGCCACCTGACTCAAAGCAGAGAGAAGGGAGTTGCATTTCGATTTAAGGAAAAGTTTCCGATGAAAAATGGAACTCTGTGTACCAGATAGGGAGACATGAAAATGGGAGAACTTTTTACTCTTTAATTTGAAAATAAAGTGTCATCTAAGCCATAGCGAGAGTTTACATCAACAGGTGGTCTCTGACAAAAATGAGTTTCTGGGTTACCTTTCTGCGTGGGCCATTTGAATGAGAAAGATCACAATGATGTTGCAGTGCATGGGATATAGACGGATGGACACACAGACAGATGGAATCAGACCCAGATAGTCTTCTTTCCTTTCTCCTAGCCCAAACTGGGACCATATAATATAAACTATTTTGTAGCCAAAACAGGTCATCTTTGCTGCGTAAAAGGCGGAGTTGACAGCACTAATTGTTTCTCATTATTTCTTTTGCTAGAAGGCTCCACGAGCGGCCGTCACTGGCGTTAAGTAAACATGTTTTCTCCCTTCCGGCTGATGTTGGAGGACTACTCTTTTTTCTGGGTGTATTGGGATAATAATTGCAGCTAAGAAATAATATACTTTTTATTGAAACGGCCAGATGGAGCCATGACTTTTACAAAGACACATGGATATTTGGATATCAAGATCTACGTGGCATCTCCTAATTATTGGGTGGTTTCTCAGCAGTCCTAAGAGTTTTAGGCTGTGAATAGTGGCTCCTTCAGGTGCAAACACATCTGATTCGTTACTCTGCTCTTTCTGAGTTGAAGTCAGCTTTTTCAAGGGACGTGTCTTCATTCTCCTTCCACTTTTGTTCATTGTGCTCCCAAGTGAACCAGTGAGCACTTACTCATTATTTACCTTTGACTTCTGTCACTTTATCTTGTACCTATAAGATAGGATTAGATAGTAGAATGAGAAAGGGGACCTTTATTTATTCATTTATTCTACAAATATTTATTGAGCACCTATTCTGTGATCGATAACGTACACTTTTGCCTTCACGAAGCGTGCGCTTGATGTATCCTCGATAAATACAAGTAAGCCAGCAAGTGATCTAGAGAATCAGAGAGGGTCCCTGGCAGCTGAGATGAATCTCGGAGGACAAACCGAAGTTGGTCCAGGGAAGGGAGTGGGGAGGGAGGGGAGAGCGTCCGAGTAGAGAGTATCGCCAGTGTAAGAAGCCAGAGAAGACAGGCTTTTTTCAGGAAACTGCAATGATTTTAATACTTCAGGAGCATAGAGTGCAAGGGTGGATTTTGTATTGTACAGTATTTGATAGTACAGCCTTGCTTTACACACACACACACACACACACACACACACACACACAACCTAGGATATCCTAGGTAGGAAATATATGGAATCCACCACAAGCCTTACGCCTTTCTATTGTCCTGTTCTTATGCTCTTTATCTTATTACCTGCCTGGCCCACTTAGGCATTTGAGCTTAGGATCCTCTACCCCTGAACCTAGACAAAGGAACAAGTTGAAATCATCTCAGCTGCCATTTCTGGAATGAGAAGAAAGGGGATTAGCTTTTTGGTGGGACTGTGAAAACCAACCCAATGAAAGATTGTACGCATGAGATAAGCCCAGGAGAATTACTCTAGTACATCAAAAAAAAAGGGGGGGTCTTTTATCTCAGATGAGAAAATAGAGTGTGAAGACAAGCACATATTGAGGTCCTATCATGTGCCAGGTGCTATGCTAAGTTCTTTTATATCAGGCCTCTCTATAAAAGATGATAGTAATTTAAAGAGCTCATAGGGACATGCATGAAAAGTTGATAATTTTATAAAGCGGTTTTACGCATCTCAAAATACTTACTAGAATGTCACTTTAATGTTTAAGCCAATCAGATATTCAGCACTCTTGACTGAGGGTACAGAACAGACAGGGTCCCCGCCTCATTCCCTGCCGGGGGCTTCCTCACCGGCATGGACAATTATCCCCGTCTGGGCCGCTGAGTCGTCAGATTTGAGTTCCCCGAGGATTAGAAGAAAACTTTGAAAGAGTAAGTCGGAGTCTGTAACCTCCATGAACTTTAACAAATTTGCATGTTTATGATGGTTTTGGATCAATCCAACCCTTCTCCTTCTTAGAAGGGAACCCTCAGCCTGGGTAAACCAGGAGCAAACACCTGTGCTCATCAACCAGGGGGACGCTATCTTCCCAGCACTGCTTATGTCGATCGTCAGGGTTTTGAACACCTTGTTAAACTGCCTTTAAGAAATGACTTCTTGGTCCTCACAGCAGAAGCTGAGCCAAAGCTCGTTTACCTGTTCATACTTGCGTTCGGCATGAGTCATGAGAAATCAGGATACTTAAATCCTGAAGGAGGAGAATCAGAGTCAACTTTGAAACTCTCTCCTTGGCCTAGCATAGTGCCTTAGGCAGACTGTTGCTCAATAAATATTTGCTGATCCAATATCCACTTATCCAGAGATCTGAATCTGCAAAGAAAGCGTGTCTTTGCCAATGTGTCAGAGGCCTGTATTCCTGACTGCCTTCTATTTTGAAAGCTTTGCCTGTAAGAAAGTATATCATAGAGGAAGGAGTTGGTTGTGTTTATACAACAGCCCTATCTCCCGGTCTGGCATTCAGGTAAAAAAAGCCTGTAGTGAGCCACCCTGAGCACACTTGTCTTCCTTCTCCCAGGCTCCTCACTTGGCCCTGTTTATCATTTTCCCTGCTCACATCTGGCAAACGTCGCTGGCCCCAACGCGAGAGAGGAATTCCAGTTTCATCATTGTGATCAGCTGTGGTTCTGGAACAATCGAGGTAGGACAGCCACGGGCACAAAATGATGAAGGTCTGTGTGTCTGATGACGGTATCTGGGGTCACAGAATGCTGGGAAAGGCCCCGCTGGAGGAAAGGGGCTTCCAGTCAATGATTATGGCGACACAGGAGTAAGGACAAGACGAGAACACATGGGAGCAGCAAGAGGACTTAGGTGACGTTGAAAACGAGGTAGGGAGAGAATTTTGAATTGCAAGATGCTGAGAGAGAGAGAGGCTCTTAGTCCATCTGTGAAAAACCGATCTCTGACCAGTGGTAAGAGAAGGCAAGGGAAGAAGATTCAGGATTATCCAGGAGCATTTGATATCAAAAGGAGACTGAGTTTGGTAAACGGGAAGGAAACAGAATATCGAGGCAGTACGGAGGAGGGGCGGCTTTGCCACCTGGCTATTAGACTGCAGACTCACAGCAGGGGTCTGTAGACACGGGGCTGAAGGCTGGCGGTAACGCGGCGGTGGGTGGAGCACAGAGCGGCAGGGAGCTCTGCTGTGCCTTATGCAAATTCTGTGGCTGCAAAAAGTGGAGTAGCCCAGGATCCCAAGCCAGTTGCTGAGCACCCCGAGGTTGCAATCCCAGGTGGGTTTAGAACGTTGCTCAACAGGGAGCTGAGCTCCCAGAGGCACTGTGATTTCTTTAGATCATCGGATAGCAGACTCTAATGTTTACCAGCGTCAGGAGGATCAGGTCAGGACATTCTGATTTTTTTTCAGTCATATAACTAGCTCTAGCCAGCCAGGCTGGGGATTTGCTGCCCGAGCTGTTTTCCAACGTGGTTTTACTGGCGAAACCAGATGTGATTGTTTCCTCGACTTTCAAGGGGCCTGTTTACACTGACTTAATTTTTACTGCCAGCTTTCAAGTGGGAAGAGGGAGATTATACTTAAAGGTCAGCAGGTGAGCAGAAGGCTCCCCTCCTCGCCACTGCTGGGTACGTGTGTGTGTGTGTGTGTGTGTGTGTGTCTTGCACGCATATGAATATGTGGATTTTTCCACATGCAAATCGTTGTTCCCCGATCTGGCTGACAAGACCTGATCCCTTGTTTGTAGGCATAATGTTGGGTTGGGTGCCAGGCTGCTTGTTTAGCAGTTTCCCGTTTCGTTTATTGTAAAGAAGGTAAATCAATCTATGGGGTTTTCTGAGTTGGAGGGCAACGGATATTCACTGTCAACAGGATGAGAACAAGGAGATATAAGATGCTGAGCTCAAGGCTGCGTCTAGTTTTAGGACAAGAGCGTAAAAAGGTGGGAAGAAGCCAACTACACAGGGCATTTCTGTCTTGAGTGGGAAATACGACTTGGAAAATTGCCATTTGGTCAAAGCACCGGAGCTAAATAAAGTAAAATTAAGTTGGACTCATATTGAATTTCACCAACTCTCCTTTTTCAATTCTTTTTTTGTTTAAATTCCCCCAAAGATGACAGATGGGGACCCACAATTTGGAAATAAGAGCTTAAGAGGAGCATTGAGAAGACCCGTCTCTGGTCCCCGTGCATATTCCCAGGGGACTTGAGCACTCGGAGACTGGGATTCCTGGGAGAGCCACCACAGCGTTGTCTTTTGCTGAGAAATAAACCAAGACGCTGCTGTCCCACTTAGGATGGAACAAGAAGCCACGAAGTCCCTGATGACAGAAAACGTGGAAGATTGCCTGCTGGACAAGGTAAGAGCAGGTACCGCTTTCTCTCGTGCACCCCCCACCCCTCCTCACCCCCCCATCCCTCCTTACCCCTCCTCACCCCGCCTCACCCCTTCTACTCAGCCAGAGTTCATTATCATACTAATAAGTAAAGATGCGTTTTTTAGGCAAAACCATTACAAAGAGAAATAAGGAAAACTTATGATGATAAAAATTATAGTAAGATGATTCCCCATTATGTCTCTTTTTGGGGACTACACATGGAAGGAGTGTTGGCCAACATTTTCCCATGGCCCTGTGCTTTCTGAAAGAAAAAAGTCCATTTTTTTTTTAACTCTGGCATTCAAGTAATATTTCTATCTTTCTACTCTCTACCTACCTGCATCTCCAATAGCAGAAATTCTAAACAGTGCTCCACACATTGAATCCAGCCTGTGCTTGTGCTTTCTTTGGCCCATAGGTTATTTAAATTTTTTTTCACATCTGGCAACCACAGGTCCCAATTTCTTGGCTGGCAGACACAGGCTGGAGCTGCGTGTCTGTTCAACAGAACATGTGCTCACTGGTTTCCGGGGGCCACAGCACCCCTAAGTCCAACACCCGCCCCCTCACCCCTCCCTCATATGTGTCCCCTCATCACCCCCTGGAGGTGGTTGTGCCTGCCACTCCTGCCCCACAGGAACTGTGCCCTGAGAAGCTTCAGGCCCAGGGAGAGAGCACCTCTCTCTCTCCGTTTTTCTGGATTTTGGTCATCCTTCAGACTCAGCTCAGAGTCCACTTTCCCAACAAAAATTTCTCTGCCGCGCCAGCACAAATCATTTTTGTCTCCTGTGTACGCCATTGTAATGACTACTGACAATATTTATGTAGCAGTCAATTGCATATTGATTCCCAACACCTTTCCTGTTGTTATCTTGGGTGGCAACTCAAATATTATATTGTTTTATTGTTTATAAGTTTCTGGAGGGAAGAACAGGGTCTTGGGTATCTTTTTTCTCCCTGACGGTCACATAGTATCTTTGCGTATATGTGGTCAGAATGATTTCAGGGTTCATTGAAGATAATGCAGGAATAGTGTAAAAGGTGCTGGCATATGAGTCCTGTACAGTATTTCATTTAATCTGATCGATAGCCATCTGGCACTTGCATCTTCCCTCCATTTTTACGGAGGAGGAAGCGGAGGCTCGTACGGACTAAATAACTTGTCCAAAGTCACACAGCTGGATAATGAAGGTGGTGAGGTTTCAGCCTACTCTTTTTTACCCCAAAGCTAACCCCCCTCTACGTGTATCTTTATAAACAAAGACTGAGCACCTGCTTTGTGCAAAACACCGTGCCCAAGACACAAGGCTGACACACTGCCTGCCCAATGAGCAGTTCTGTGCCGTGGGGTGGCTTTAACAGCGGCCCTGTCCCTCCGGCAGATTTTGCACGTAACTCCAAAGACAAGAGGAAGAATTCTGTGTGCAGACAGGCAAATGCTTAATATCATATGCGATCGACCATGAAGGCTGCATTGGGATTTAAAGGGGCCGCTGGAGAGCAGGGAGGGTGTTCGCTCCGGGGGGAGGGGCGTTGCACAGGTGAGAGGCATGGAGACAAAGCCTTCGAGCGTGCACAGGATTTAATCAGCAGAGGAGTGCAGGAGAGGCTGGCCAGGCTAAGGGGAACCCATTTGAGCGCCGAGCATGGATTTCACTGAGTTACCTTGTCCTTGGGAGGCAGACCAGTGGTGTGGGCTTCAGAATGACACTGTCCGAATGTGGATCTCTGTTCTGTGACTTACAGACTCTAGGACCCTGGGCAAATGACTTACTTTTTCTGAACTTAAGCTTCCTCATCTTTGAAATGGGGATAATCACAGCATCCACCTTAAGGGATTACTGTGAGGCTCAAAGGAGCTAACCCTTATAAAATATCCTGCGCGCCAGAAGGACTCACCAGTCTCAGCTACTTGGTGCTGCTGTGGGTATGGCTTCCGCTACGCGTGGGAGCTGCACATATCTTGTGGGGCTCAGGCATTTGGTTCATGGAAGAATTTGTCTGAAAAGATGGGGATATGATGGTGGAAAACCTACTGTCTCATTTACGTATCACTCAGTTGAAGTCTCCTTCCCTTTCAATTATTAAGCCCTGGAGGACAGAGGTAGTGTCTGCTATGCCCCCCACCCCCCATCCTTTTTTTTGTTAATTGGTTATTGGATTTAATGCAAATTCCAGAAGTAAAAGTCTGACTTCCTATTGTGTGGAAGAAAGTTCTCAGCCTTTTTTCCCAGTGACATTCATCACGAATGACATTCACGCAGGCC